TTTTTAAAGAACCAAATAAAACAATCAATAGACAAAACTGCAAACAAAATAAAAAGCAGTTCAGAACAATTTGGGTAAACCATGGAACAGAACTTGGCAATGTTAGGTTTTAGGGCTACAAGTTTCAGCATCTTGTAGTCAGGTCTTGTACTGGTCTATGACTGTAATAAGGATTTATTCTATTCTGTTCTATTCTTTAGCCAACATGGCTGGGGGATGTGGCCCTCCAAGGTCCCTGAGTCCATGATAGCTTATCTTTTATGAACCAGTAGAGGGGAATATCTTTGAACATGAAAGATTCAGAGTCTAACTTCAATGGGCGTTTTCACATGGGGCTTTAGACGGACGCAATCCTACCTCCCTCCGGCTCCAGTCCAGCTCCTTTTCCAGTGTGTTCACACTCACGTCGCAGCAAACCCCGCCCCTTCTGGTGCCATCCCTGCGTCAGTCCGGCTCCTTGCTCCGTGTGTTCACACTCACGTCGCAGCAAGTCCGGCCTCACTCCGGCCGATCCAGCGCTAACTCCGGCATCAGCCCTGGCAAGGTAATTCCTTTTTTAAAAAGGAATTAAGTTGCCGCCACCGGAGCCATTCCAGAATGAGCAGCATGGTCGGCTCCAGGCGGCTTTGGTGGGTCTAGTGTGAAAACGTCCAATGTCAGGGAAGTTCTTGATGGAATGGGCCAAAGGCAAAAAGATAGGACCAAAAATCCAAATATAGTTGAGTTTAAAGCTCCAAACTGATATCAGGTAAGCCCCAGGAGAGATATTTCAGCCTTTTACAGCACAGGTGTGAATGGTCCACCTCTTTAGGTGTTGCTGGACTGCAGCTCCCAGCAGCCCTAGCCAGCATAGCCAAAGACGACAAATGTTGGTAGTTGTAGTCCAACAACATCTTGGAGGTCATGCAACCACCCCAGTTCTGAGAACTGGGGTGCATATATTTATATGTATAATAGAAATGATTTAATTTTAAAGAAATGATGTTTTATAGATATTTTATCTGTTGTCTCAGTATCACATACACAGTACATGTGTTTTTGTTTGTTTTATAACAGATCCTGAAGAAGGCCAATTGGTGATAAGGCCAAAAAGCATTGAACTTTTTAAGAAATAAAATTCATACTGTTCATTCATCCACTCTTCTATATGGTTACATAACATACAGTTATAGAATCATAGAGCTGGAAGAGACTGTAAAGACCATTGAGTACAAGGCTCAGTCATGCAGGAATAATATGCAACTAAAGTAGTCCTGAGATGGCCACCCAACCTCTGTTTAAAGACTTTCAAAGACAGCATGTCCACCACCCTCCAAGGCTGTTTATTCCACTTTTGAACAACTCTTACAGTAAAGAAATACTTCCAATTTTTTACATGGGATTTTTTTTCTTGTAATTTCAATCCATTGCTCCATGTCCTAGTCTCTGGAGCAGCAGAAAGCAAGCTTGCTCCATCTTCTACTTGACATCCTTTCAGATGTTTAAAGATGGGATGTCATGTCGAAGATGGACTGAGTTTGTTTCCATCATTGTCATCGTTTTATGGGAACCTGGGGGAGGAAGGGGAATAATCCATAGCTTTCATCAGATTATCATATGGGATCCATGATGGGAAAAACTTATCTGGAAGCCTCAGGTTTTGTTTCTGCATCAAATGATTTTATTTTAGAGATCCATATGATGTTTCCCTCATTCCAAAGTATTTCCAAGGAGCTCCTAGCATTACCAAAGACTTTTCATTCCCACTCCCAAGCCAATTTAAATTAACCCACAACTTTTCAAAATGAAATGCATCTGTACTTGAGTTTGTGGAGCTTATCGCTTGGCGTTTTAAACTGAATCAAGCCTCCTGGGCTGCAGCCAGGAGTCGGGATGGAGAAGAAGATGATCACATGCTAAATCGTTGCCGAATTACCAGCTGCCATCAGTCTGGGTCCTAGCCGGGCTCAGCTGGTGCTTTTTAGAAAATGGAATGCTTTCTGGCTTCTAAAAAGCGCTGGCTGAGCCCGGCTGGGACCCAGACTCATGGCAGCCAGCGATTCAGCAGCGATTCAGCATGCGATAATCCTCATCTCCCGGCTGCAGCCTGGGAGGCTTGATTCGGTTTAAAACGCCAAGCGATAAACTGATGTGTTTCTAATTTCTGAGAAACAGTAATCTCAGCTATTATTTCCAGGACATAAATTCAACAGTGTGGGAAAGAGAAATCTCAGCATTAAAACAAATTTATCTTAAAGCTTAACTAGTGTAATAGTGCTTTAGTATTTTTACTATAACTCTGGAATAAGAATAAAAAAGGAACAAGTGAAAATTGGTGAAAATCAAATTTTGAATTGTTGGGTGAGATCCAGCGTGACACATGATCATTGGGAGGGGAGCAAAGGAAGGAGAGGGAGGCAGGGAAAGAAACTTGTGCTATTTCAAGAAAGAGACTGGATGCAAACTCATGTGTATGCAGGCAAAAAAAAAAAAAGAATTATTGATACATCCGGACATCTTTTATCTATCTGGAGGTACCCAAGAACCACCAACACCATTTATTCTTTTATCCTATCCAATATACAACAGGAATTTCTGTGTTTTAACTTTTGCTCAGTTTAATTCTCTTTTAACTTTTTTTTTAAAAATTGTAATCGGGGGGAGGGTTGGGATAGGGGATTCTTCTTTTAACCTTGACTGTAATTTTAATCTGTATGTTCTATATACATGTTGTAATCCGCTTTTATTCCCATGGGAATAGAAATAATAATAATAATAATAATAATAATAATGACAAAGGTAAGAGTCTATATCAGAGGTGTTCAAAGTGTGCCCCACATGGACTTCCCAGTGCCATTTTTGTCAGGGTCCCTCAAGGGTCAAAAATAATTTTTGTAAAATATTTTCAAAAAATGTTTTTGCCCCCAAATAGTCCAAAATGGCCACTGGGGCTCTAGGCGCATTTCTACTTCATTTTGTGCTGCCCCTGGCCAATTTAAAGCCAGGAGATTATTTGAAACCCAAACCCTGGTAAAAATGCCCCCATGCTCCCCAGGGGCTTTTGGGGGCATTGATTTTTCAGCAATAGGGGTGGACCTCCAAAGTCTCTTAATGTGTCCCAGTAGAAGGTGGGTTGAATCTGCGTTGTTTGCATTAATTTTGAATGCATCCGATTAAGATTTTTGGGGGGCTGCCAAAAAATCCCCAAAACCTACAATAATCAATCTTGTCGTCCCCCCCACCCAAGTTTTTTTGAAAGATTCACATTGTTGGATGTGTGAATAGCTGATGTGGATAGACCCAGGATAAACCGGGACAAAACTCTGCACGTCTTGAATGTGTTTTGAATATATCTGCATCCTCAACTCCATCTTTCTTTGCAGTGTTGACACATGTGGGCAACAGAATGTGCAGATATGCGCAGATATATGGTTCCAATAAAAAGTGTGAACAACAAATAGGGAATGCATGAATGAGATTGTTCACATAGTCATGTTGCAAAACAAAATGTATAGATGACCCCATAGTCACCCACCCCTGGTCTGTATCCCCTCAATGTGAAGGAACGGGCACTTTATGCCAGTGATGCTCCATCCAGACCACAGAGAATCATCTCTCTTCTGCATTTCCATTGAGGAGTGACCTTTCTGTGACCGAAGCCCCGCTGAATGGCACAGTAGTGATATTAGGTATCTGCTGAACTGTTGTTGACACAGATGGAACCCATGTTCAGAGAGGTTCAAGAGTAAGGACCTCAAAGGCCATGTTCTCTGAATGCCGAAGAAAAGAGAACAAGCTCCTCCTGACAAAAGGGATCTGTTGCATGCAAACCAAACCTTTAGCTAACAATACTAAATGCCGACAAAAGAGACCCTCTGATTGTTTATGCACAATAAAGTATTAATTAGAGTCTTGTCATAAACTACCATCGACCTTTCAGCCAAGACAATAGCTGATCCTGGATCCTTTGTTGCCTCCTGCATGATTGTGGCATTGTCAAATGTTGGCTACAGGTGAGCAGCATCTTTCTCCCCCCCCCCCTTTGGGGAAAGGTGAAGCCCCGTAACTTGAGGACGTTCACCAACTTCAACGCTAATTAGTTTCAAATTAAATTTTCCACTCTGCCAGACCAAGCACAATGCGAGAGATCTCAAGGCACAAGAGGGTTTGGGGAGCAAGGGGAAGGAAAAAAGATGGATGGAAGGGAAGAAAGGGAGGCAGACATAAAAGGAACAGCAGGCATTTAATATGCATCTACAAGGACTAATTGTGGAGAACAAGGGGGGAAAGTATTAGTTCAGTTCTTGGGAGCTGTTGTCTCAATGGAGTGATGCCTGCTTACATCACACAACCTCTCCATTTTCCCTCTTTATTGTCAGTGGTGAATGAGAGGGAATAGCCCTGTTGCTATGTTGACTTTTTTGTGAAGGTTGCATAAACGGAAGAAGAAAATGTTTTAGTCAAAACTGTTTCAGTCCCTCCAATATACATTAAATATCTACTACCCTTTCAGAACCATGTTGTGACCTCTAGTGAATATAACCACTGCGCCACCAGGGCTCCTTACACTGCTCTCTTCACAACTGCCCTTCTGAGTTTGAGTCTTTTGATTTCTTGACTACAACTCTCCATTTTGATTAATGGCTGAGCCAAACTATGGAAACTATGTTTTGATGTCTTCATTACCCGCTTTAAAGTTATGTAGCTCATCTGTGCTCATTATTTTTGTTTACGTAATGTTCAGCTGTAACGTTGCTTTTGTACTTTCGCTGTTGACTTTCATCAATAGACATTCCAAGTCTTTGATATTTTCTGGATGTATTAATGAAATAAATAAAATAAAGGGCATCTAGGGTGTGTGTGTGTGTATATATATATATATATATATATATATATATATATATATATATATATATATAGTGTATATAGAGACAGAGTTCCCTACAGGCCCAAAGAGCCTACAGGTATGGCAGAACGCCTCCCACACACCACTAGTGATTATTTTGGGACTTTTTTCAAGAGCCAATATGGCATAGTGGTTTGAGTATTGAACTGAGATTCTAGAGACCAGGGTTCGATTCCCTGCTTAGCTATTCAGGGGACGGCAATGGCAAACCTCCTCTGAACAAATCTTGCCAAGAAAACCCCATGATAGGTTCACCTTAGGGTTGTCATAAGCTGGAAATGATGTGAAGGCCCACAACAAGAAGTCCCAATTTTCATCTGTGACTTGTTGGAGAGTATGTGGCAAAATTTCTTTGCCTTTTCTTTAAAACCTGCTAGCATTGTGCATCAACAGTTTTCCAGGTTATGACTGTCTGCTGGCCAGAGATGTGTTTATATGAAAAGGAGGAGGAACATGCAGTCCTCCAAAACTTGCATTCCAACTCATCAGCAGTCATCATTGACTCTGCCAGCGACAGGATTAATGGGAATTGCAGTCTAACAACATGTGGAAGGCCACATGTCCTTCACTCCAATTATATAGGATCAGAGTGGAATGGCACTCCAATTATATAGGATCAGAGGGAAGAGAGAGAGTGGGAGCAACAGAAAAGGGTTTGTGAAACTGCTTTGAGTTCGAAATGCTGAGGTCTGGATCTGGGACCTTTCACATGCAAAGCATGTACTCACCCACGGAGCCACAAATGAACCTAAGACAGCTGTGGTTTCTCAAGGTGAGATCATGGTTCATAGGACCTTATCACACACGGGCCACAAAGGGATAAGAAACCGAAATAAGAATAAATCCAGTACTATACCGAAATGAACCGAAAGAGCCCCGACAATACGTAAATGGCTATCACATGCAATTACCGTCATCACGCTTTTATCGCGCTTCCAAGAAAGCGCATCC